GACAACGAGCGCTTAGGCAATCAAGTACACCAGTCCTCGCAACTGTCATCGAGAACTATTGGCCAAAGGTGAGCGGCTTGGCGCATCAGGCAGAGAAGAGCAAAATTTTGGCTGACCGGCTGCCGTTTTGGAAACTGCGCGCGCCCAGTCCGAATTTTGGGTTGTCAGACGAGTTGTACTTGGAGGGGGCTCATGAGATTGATGGTGGATAGAGAAACGGACGATGAAGAGACGAGAGACTGTTACCATGAGTGCTGTTGATAGTTTTCAGCTGTGGGATGCGTGTGGTTCATCAGATCCACAAAGGGCGCTGCAGCTGTTGAGCGGTTGGGACCAACAACGGATACTGGGTGCTGCCGAATTCAAAGATCGTGAGGTACGTATGATGTTTTTTGGTTGTGTGAATGTCACTGCATGGGGTGACGTTATGGTATTACATGAGACATATACGGCATGTTTTGCATCATCCCACAGGATGGCAAAACACCACTGCACTGTGCCTGCGATAAAGGCCACGTCAAGGTGGTGGAGATGCTTTTGAGGCACCGTGTTGATGCTAAAGCCAAGGACGCAGTCAGTACAGTACCCCCCCCCCCCCTTCTTCCTCTCTCTATACCCCTCCCATGATGGTACACCGGTTCTAAATGAAGATGATGATGATGATGATGATGTACCTGTCCGTCATGCTGCTGGATCATCCCACAGGGTGGCAAAACACCACTGCACTATGCCTGCGGTAAAGGTCATGACAAGGTGGTCGAGATGCTGTTGAAGCACGGCGTTGATGCTAAAGCCAAGAACAGCGTCTGTACCATACCTACCTCTCATCCCTTGACCATGGTACACCTACAGTGTATCACGTGATGATGATGATGGCTGTACCGCATCATCCAACAGATTGGCTTCACACCACTGCACTATGCCTGCGGTAAAGGTCATGACAAGGTGGTCGAGATGCTGTTGAAGCACGGCGTTGATGCTAAAGCCAAGAACAGCGTCCGTACCATACCTACCTCTCATCCCTTGACCATGGTACACCTACAGTGTATCACGTGATGATGATGATGGCTGTACCGCATCATCCAACAGATTGGCTTCACACCACTGCACTATGCCTGCTATAGCGGCCATGTCAAGGTTGCGGAGATGCTGTTGAAGCACGGTGTTGATGTAAACAACGTCCGTGCCATACCTCCCTCTCCCCACTTTGACCCCCTTATATGATGGTATCACATGATGACGATGATGGCTGTACCGCATCATCCCACAGGTTAGCTTCACACCACTACACTATGCCTGCAATAACGGTGATATCCAGATGGTGGAGATGCTTTTGAAGCACGGTGCTGATGCCAAAGCCAGGAACGAGGTTAGTACAGTACCTCCTTCTTTCTCTCTCCCCTCTGGCTGTTCCTGCTGCTTGTCGCCTTTGCTCCTCTACACCCTGCCCACTGTTCGCGTCCGTTCTGCCTCGTTCTTCTGTCCTTCTTTCCTTCTATCCCTTTTCTTCCCCTTCTCCGTCTGCCCATTGTCGGTGCTCCCTTTGTTCCGCTGTATCTTCCGCCCACTTCCCATTTATGATGTTGTAACGTCGAACCGAGCACTACTCCATCCCTTGCCAAAAAAAAAACTGCAAAAAAAAACCATTTTTTTTTTTGTTTGTCTTGCCAATTGCGCCGCTGTCTCTCTCGCGCGCTCAAGTGGCCTTTTCTCGACGTTCAACCCCACCCACTCACTCACTCAATAAAAAAAAAAAAAACGTGCCTCATGTTTCCAATCATTGATTATCGTGTATAGGACGGTCAAACGCCGCTCCATGCAGCCTGCAACGCCTTCTATGCCAACCGAAAGGTTGCCCAGCAGCTCTTGAGCCACGGCACCGACCCTGATGAAAGAGATCTTGTAAGCTTTTCACCACGATGCCGTGCTGTTCCGCTCTTCTGCTGCAACGGCGACTGATACCTGATGACCTGCTGTGGCAGACGGGTGCGCGGCCCTTGGATCTGCTTCTTCGCAGGAGTCCCATCGAGCTCGAGGTGGGCCTTTTTTTGATTTGAAGTATTGATTGCAGACGCAAAAGCTTGCTCACCCATGAACCTGTTGCACTTCGTAGCTGATCGAAGAACTATTGGGCGCAATCCGTACCCCATGCTCCTACCAAACTTCAAATCCCAATGGTGCGAACCTGATTCTCATGTGATTGTCCGCATTGTCTTGTTCTCATCGAATTTCAACGCGGCGCCAGTCCAAGGCTTGATTCATGCGGAGCAGGCCAGACGCTGGCGGTGCGCTGCTGCTGTTCTTTGTAACGTCGGTTGGCGCGTGGATCCTCAATTGTTCAACATCCACGACCTACATACCCTTTGTGACTACCAGGCCGCTCTAACGGCCTCCGCTCAAGCTGCACCTACGAATTGAAATGTGTTAAGCTTGTGCGTCCCTTGTCGATCTCTATGCAAACAGAAAATAAAGTGAATGACCAGGGCGGGCTTTGCCAGATGTCTGAAGCAGACCAGTCCGATAACCACCGAAAAGAGCGAGAAGCCGCTTCGTCTTTATTTGCCATGACATCAGAAATGGACAATGCTGTCTCGGTCATGACGGGTGTGGCGCTGGGCGAGCTGCTGCCGAGGGCGTTGAGCGAAAGTTTTTGTTTTGCGAGCGATCAATCCCGGTTGAACTTGGGTACTGTGGCAAGTGAATGCAGTCGATGCGTGTCTGGTCGCTCTGACACATCCTTATCCCCTTCATTGAAAGTGTTTGAAGGGCTCGGTGATCAATGCCACCGCAAGGCAGCCAAGTCAGCGCTATCACGAGCACGTGGAGCCACATCAAACTTGTTCCGGCTCGCCCGAGGAGAAACGGAGCAAAGCGCAAACTTCAAGAAACAAGAAGAAGCACAGGAGGCACCAGCATCGTGAGTGCTAGGCGCGCCTGCTCCCCTTCTGCTCTGGAATGCCCAACTGTGATGAGTGCAATCGCGTGGCTCAATTGCTGGTTCAAGCAGCAGCCGTCCGGACGCCGATAACAAAAATAAAATCTGATGTAATCCTCCTTTGGTTGCTTTTGGTCGAGTGGAAATGATTAGATTGGGCGCTCTGCCAGAACCTGAGCCTCCACCCGAGCTTTCCAACACTACAGAGGGGGGCATAGACGCAAAAACCCCGTTGATAGTCATTTGTAGTGCCAAGAAGCGTCAATGGCTCACTGCTTGTTTCCTTTGGAAATGAGATGTCGCCCCAGAATTCAAGTTGGCTCGCTCGTCGACCCTTGCACCTGGTTGAAGAGATGTTTGATCTGGTCGGCAGTGTTCAAGCGGCTCGCCAACGAGCTTGGAATGTTGACCAGCGGCCACGGAGGCATCGCATGTGTGCGTACGAGCTCCAGTTTTTTTGTGGCGCTTTGAAAGCAGATCGGAATTTGCTTGCATGACGTTTTTGACGCTTCAGAACAAAAAATGAAAGGAAGCACCGTTTGAAACGTGTGTTGTGTTTTTGCATTTTCCCTTCCTTTGGCTTTTTGCCATTTGCTTCTGTTTTTTTTTTTCTGCCCTCTTTGGCAGCGGTCTCCGTATCGATATCGGCATA